CACGTGCATCTTTCCGCGTGCGCGGTAATGGTGGCCCGGCCTAATGGGCAACTTGGCGACTTGTTCCCTCCCCCCTACATCCTCAACGCCCTTGAAACCTTGGGTTGTTGGCCGGGAAGAAGGGATACACCACGACTATTCAACAGAAACTACACAAAACCCTCAACCCAACATCATTTTATACCCCACTGAAGAAATCTCAAATACGATAATCTTCCACCTGCTTAGAAACGACCCCCTGTTGAGAATTCGTCAACCATGCCTTGTTTGCGACCTCCTTCTTCAATCCATCTGTGTGGGGGATAACTAGATGAGACAGACGCCTCCGTTTAGGCCCCCTCGTACTGTTTTCCACTGCGATCGTAATTCAAACGCCTCACATCATTCTCTTTTATCCAGCTCTTTGAATTCTCCTCAATTGAGTGATGTATGCTTCAGATTACGGCCAATTCAAGTTCCTGATTAAGTGATGCACTCTTTTCCTACCTTGAAATTCTTTAGTAACGGATCATTCATCTTGGAAGCCAAGGGTAGATGCGTATTTTGCTCTTACCGTTAGACGACAAAGAGAAAATGATTCCGTCCTCCTAGTTTGGAGTGGGTGCTCTCATCGTAGCAATTACTAGAAGCGAACAGAACGACGTGAAAGGCCCGAGAGGGCTAACTTCCTTGCCTGATCACATTGGAACAGTTTATTGCCAACTCGGTATCGCTTAGCTCTTCACCTGGAACCCGACTCTCGCTAGAACGTGGAACGGCGCCAAACAACGATCAAAGAGCTCAATGCGCAATACGTAACAGCTAACAGCGTATATAATTGGAACTCCGTGCCCAACCAGCTTACCTGACCAGTTCAACTAGTCCCCACTAGGACTATCATCCCCGATTAGCCCGCAATGCAGCTCATAATCTATCTACTACCTACGCATAACTTTCCATTTCAACGGCGGGACACACCCACCAGCATTGCGTCAGCTCTGAGAGCCTACTCTATTTTATACACTTTATATTATACGGAAAGTAAGATAAACAGTCAATAAAGTAGTGCGCATCAAAAACTCTCTAAAACGTTCTAAAGGGCCATTTCATTAGTCATTAACATTTTAGAGAAATGCGTAG